TTGACAGAATATTGACGTGAGACTTTTACACGAATGCATTCCAGTTCTGATGAGGTTTATCGAGTCATGGACAAGAGCACAGCCCGTGTTCATCCGAAACGAGGGGATATGTCTCATGGACCTCGTTCACCTAAACGTTGTATTAAAGCCAAACAGCTGCAATACGACGGGATTCCGCCGTCGGCTTCTGGTGATATTAACCTATGAATCTCTTCTTTATGCATTTTTGATACGAAATGAAAGTCTCTATAACAATGACTATAATTTGACAAGTATTTTGGCTTTTAACAAAAGAAATTACCCTAAATCCATGCTCGAATTTGGATTCAAATTTAACAAGCTTTCTCTACTCACTTATGATATATTCTAAAAATAATGGCCTAAATTATTTGTGGCACTTTTTGGACAAATATACTTGCTATTCTCGATTTAATAATTGATTTATTTTTACTCATTACGTCATTAGAACTCATAATATAGTCTTAGTTGTGGGATATATTGGAGTTGGCTAGCAAGCTTTAGTTTTTAGGCTTTGCTGGATAAATGCCTTTGATAAATACTCAGAAAATGGTATAATCAACTGTCTTTTTTTTAACTGTAAGCGGTGCGCTTTTCTCCCTTCTCCGGATATACATTTCTTCCGGTCTAATATTTCTGGCTTCCTCCCTCGTCATGGACCGTTTATTCTATGGACGATGGACATGCTCTCTGGTAAACTTTTTGCACTTTAACATGCTGGCCGACGCTGGTGCCTTCTATGGAGTTCATGCATGGCATTGGTACATAACTGAGGGTCTCCCAGTCTTACTGAGCGGCCAACTTCCATTCTTCCTAGCTGGGCTTGGCTTGGCTTGTTGGCATTGCCTGTCTTGGGCGGCATCTATTCAGACAATTCCTTCTAACATTGATGATTCCCTGTGCCACTTGAAACAGCAATATCATCATCATAACATTGATGAGAAGTCGATCAGAAGTCGTTTGGCGACCGTGCGACCTGAGAATTTGGTTATAACGAATAAACCTGGATCGAATAAGAATACTTTGAAACTCGACGAAATGAAATATCGCTCAACTTTTGGAGACCCTGCACCGATTTTAATCCTAACAATATTTTGGACTATTCTAACATATTCGT